TATTATTTACAAACTGGGAATGTTTTAAGTGTGATGAGCAGTTCCGTCCTCCTGGAGATACAGATGCAAGTGCGAACTGTAGGAATACCAAGACACTCTGTTTGGCTTCTCCGAAAGAAACTTAAAACTGACTGTTAAAAATATGCACATAAACGAGCTGCATTAAGGCAGCCTTTGTCAAAAACGGAAGAGAAAGTATGATGAGGTTTATGCCTCTGCTTCAGAGGCTAGGACCATTCAAATATTGTCATTTTAAAAGAGGCCAAATGTTAAATAATCTGCACTGTGAGCGAAAAAACGACTATGTCAAATGCTATTTTAAAAAGACAAGGAAAGCCAGAATTTGAAAATTGTTCACAACTTTATTCAGGGAAATCCAAAAACCAAAAAATGCAATTGCAAACATTTTGCAAAATTGTCAATTGTTCAGAAAGAATTAACTAAACTAAAAAGAAAATAGAAGAAACAGGAATGTGAAAATGAAGCCCGGAAGGCCACTCTTTTGGAAGAAGGGAAGCAATCTGTAATTGACATTTCTGTAAAAAAAAAAAGACAGAAGGTCCTACAACAGTGGCGACAGAAAAGCAGCATATTCTTGTCTTTTCCACCAGGTTCCAGTAGAAGAACCAGCATCTATGATTGAGGAGGTAGTCAAAGAAATCACTGGAATGTAGGTGGGGTCAAAGGCAAATGCGACAACTGTTGCTCAATTTGCCTATGAAATTGGAGTTCTAAATGATATTCCAATTGGTGAAGCAGTTGTGAATGAAGAAAACCTCACCCTTGGATGGGATGCAACTTCATTGGCAGCTGAATATATGAATGAAGTCCACATAATGTTTCCTGAGAGTCCTAGTGAACGACCAAAGGGGTTAGAACTCCAAATTAATTCTCTGCCTGCTAGAATGACGGAGGAATATGTTGGGTCATATAACAGAAGCTCATATGCAGGTTCATATGCATCGTTCCACAAGAAGGACCATCTGGAAGTGAGAAAAACTGTCATTTCAAAAATCAAAAATAAAGTTTCTGATCGTCTTCCAGAGTAAGTGTTCCTGTGTAAGGCAAAAGTTGGAGGAGGACCTTGAGATAGATCTGCTATGACTCAACTGCAATGTTCATCCTATAGATGGAATCGCTGTAGCAGCTAGAAAAGCCCTAAATAAGATAAATACAGAAAGAAACAACGGAGAATGTTACGGAAAAACATACAATGCTTATAATTCGATCTGTTCATTGTCTGAAATGAGAGTCAAACAAGGTGCTGGTGGTCCAAAAGGCTTCAAATTGTTTCTGAAAAAACAAGGAACTGAAACCAAAATAATTATGCGTTACATAGGCACTCTGCTTCACGTTCTCTTTCATTTGGCAGGAGTCTTTTTCACACTGAAAGAAAAATTAATTGCGCAAGAATTCTGCAATACAAAAACCAACTCGAAGGCAGAAGTTTTAAAAGATTTGCGCAATCCCTCTATCCTCCTTCACCTCAAAGTTCTCGGGCTGATGGGCAAACTCGTTACAGGACCCTGGATGACTCGCTTTTATGGGAACATAACGAATAAAACAAACCTTGAAGTGATTTCAGAAATCAAAGATGCAGTCAAAAAATATGAAAAACATCTGTGATAATCCAGTGGAAATTCTCAGAAGTGAAACTGACATGTTTGGAACTGTAACCACCAGAGAGTATGAAACCTTTTATAAGTCTCTGCCATTCTGTGGATCCCCAGCTCCATCATGAATTTGAAGAAGTAACTGGAAAGGTCTTTTCTGGTGCTGTCACATCCTGGAACACCAGCTGTCAGGACATCTGACTGGTGACTTGTCAACACCTACCCTTGAGATGCTGGAAAGGACCAGATCAGCTCCAGTAGACAACATGTTTAGTAAAAGGATACCGGGAATGACAGATTCCCAGGCCAGATGTGCTCCAAATGCAACATTTGGCTTCATTGATGCAAAGGTTAAGGGTGCTCAAAAAGAAACTCTGAATTGGTTCAAGGGAAAAGCATTGGAGGAGCAGGAAAATCTCATCAACTCTTTCAGAAAAAAAGGAAGGAACTAAATCTAAAAAGACAGGATATGAAAAAAAACAAAAACAAAATGAAGCTCTGAAAGGAAAACTGAAGAAGATCCCGAAAGAAATGATAAGAAACAACAGGTATGAGGAAGAGAGAATGACAGAATTTGGCATGACTCAGCAGAAGTCAAGAAAACTAAAAACTGCTGGAAGACAGAAGCAGCCTTCTAAATTCCTATATTGACCAGTACTGGTGCGAAGATGTGGAAACAGTCCTTTAACATGGTAGGAAACTTTAAAATCAGGGGCCTACTACACCATTAAATACTGGGAAGAGGGTGAAGAAGAATTAGATGAGGAAGATGGAAAGAATCGAGGTTGACAAGTTATATCCAATTTTGGTTTTGACGATCTTATTCTTCTTTAGCATGTTTTATTATTGTCTGTTTTGAGCTATGCATTGGTTGTTTGTATTGTGTTTTTGTGAGATCACAACATATAATTTGATATGTTAGAGAATGTGCTTATTTTTGCATGAAATTGTTCAGGTTTATTGTAATCTACGGTTGTTTTTGACGTAATCATTTTGAAAAGAAAATGGCTTTCACTTGATCTTCACAAAAAAGTTAAGGTCAAACTGTATTGTATTTGTGAGACTGGAATTTTTATCGTCTATTATCCACCTAAATGCATTCAAAGTTTCATTTTGATATATATTTCAATATAAAAAAAGTTATCATCCTTTTAATATTCTTTTAAATGTGTTCTTTAATTTGTAAATAATTTTCAGTTATTTCCAATTCATTTTCTATTGTCTATAATTGTGATTATCTTGATTTATTAACAGCCATAACTCTGCCAATACTTGCCAGATTTCAACAAATGAGATCGAATTTTTTTATCATTTAAAGGGCTCTATTTTTTAAACCTTCAAGTGCCTTCATTGAGAAGAGTGTAGAGAAGGTATTGTGTACAATGGCAGATGCAATGGAGATAGTGGCTTTGTTTTATCTGCTGTGGTGAGCTGGTAAAAAGAAGCTATAGAATGTTTACATGCAAGAAATAGTAAAATATTCTAGAGGTAATTTATTTAAAATAAGTTAAATCCATTAAGAATGACATTTATGGTTTCTGCAATGTTATTATTAATCTTGCCATAAATTATTTTAAACCTGTTGCTTAAATTCTACTTTTTTGTTTAACTAACTTTTTGTTTATTTCCAGGAATATGTATTTGCCTTATATCAACATTTATTTAGTAAATTATTTTTGATTATTCTTTTTATTTATATTTTATATAAACATTTCTTTTTCATATTCATACTTTTTTTACTTTCTTAAAAATTGTTTTCCTTATATTACTATTTATTTATGTATTATCCATTTAATAAATCATTATTTAGTTGTTTTTGTTTTTATCTTTTAGTTTAAATGGAAGAAAAGCTGTCAGGTAGTTTTCAGTCGTCATATATTGCCGTTGGATAGTTTCCTCTTTGACAATCACTCAGACGATGACATGGTACTGTACATAATGCTGACAGCTGTGTGAAAGTGTATTATGATCTCCTCAGCTCACACAAACATTCCCCTCATAAAACTTCACCTGTTTCCACCTGGCTACATTTCACATCCCAGCTGACATTACCGTTGGTTTGTGTAGGATGGGAAACTTGCGATCTCTGTGTAATCCACGCTCCCCTCAGAAGAGTCAAATATACCTTTTCAGGCTGCGGCTTGGTGACAACATTGCAGCTTAATGTTGTGAGTGTTAAATCAGAGCTGAGGTCGGGCTTTGATGTCTTTGTTAATAGCCGGGAGAAGATAATACCTCCAGTCACACAAAAGAAGTTGACTTGAATGATTCATATCTCATAAAGGACGACATCTGCTGGGAACATAAGTTATACAAAGCTCCTCTCGGACTCTGCGGTTAGGAAAACTGCTCTGTAAATGCACTCCCAGCTCCCAGCTCTTATTAAATTGGTGATAAATGTTTAAATGATGGGTACATTGGTTCTCTGAGGACCAGGGAGGGTTAGTCCTATAGTAACATGCCCTGCAGGTGAGCACGATGATGTAGCCTGACTCAGGTTACAACAGATGAGCCTGAGACAGGTTGATAGAAACTTTGTTTGATGTTGAAAAGAGAGAAGCCTGTGGGAGAATGGTGCTCAAACCTTGAAAAGATGTTTAAAACAAGCCCCCAACAATGTTGAAGCTACACACCCTAAAAATCAATACAATTTAACCACGAGTAGTGTTTGCATGACAAATTGCATACGACATTGTTCTCATATGCTGAGCTGAGCTAAGCAAATTAATCCGTTTACTAAACTGAAAGACAAAACAATACTTCTAAAAATGCAGAGGTGGTTTGATTTTTTTACATTTTCTCACATGCAAATAAATGAACAATCTGTCTTCTAATTGACAACAGAATATCAACTGAAAATTAGAATAGATTAAAGTTGAATCCTAAAAAATATGTTTTTTTACACTAATATCAGTTACAGAATGTATCTTGAAAAAGTTTTTCTTTTCCTTTTCTTTTCAGTATCTTAATTACGGGACAGGGAGCGTTGGGCCAGTGTGTTGTCTTGTATGCATGAGTGTGGATGGGTTGTTTTTCCTGTCTTTGTCTTGTCGTTTGCAGATCTTGGGAGTGTCCCTGGGATGAGCGGGAGGGGATTGGACATGTATAAGCTTTTATCTTCTTCCATCCCCTTTTCAAGCCATGAATATGTATTGTTTGTCATTATATGTATTGTAAAATGTGTGCAGATTTGAAATAAAGTTTTTGAAATTAAATTATGCAGAGCATCAAAACTAAAAAAAAACATAAAAGTGTTGCAAATCTGACTGACATAACTGAGAGAGACACAGTTTTTTCTAATATTCTGATACTATGAGCCCTTCAAGGAGCTTCTTGGTCCCCAAAGACCTCAACCTTCCTCAAATGTTAAATGTAGGAATGAGATCTGGAGACAGTCAATCTGTCTTGTTCCCCTTTAGCTGCCCAGTGTTTCCTTGATGTGAAAACGCAGCCTGCTATTTAAAAAACCTTCCACCAAAATCTAATATTTGACTTATTAAATTGCTCCCTGAGGGATGGGTTGAATGAAGAGGACAGATTTCATTGTAATGTATAAAGTCGCAATGACAAATGAAAGAGATTATTAAAAAATATTAGAAAATAAGCCATTTTAAATCTTAGGTAATGTTACATACATTTTCAAAACAGAAATGGCAACTTTAGACTGGAACATAACATCTGAATTTAACTACATGTGGACATTTCACTTCTTGCATTACAGAAAGAATACTTTCAAGTGGCTCTTTGTTTCCGTCTGATCCATACACTTATTACAATATTCTAAATCTTACACAGAATTTAACTATTAAGACATTTTCTTCATATTTTGTATTCATTTAAATATGTATTACTTTAATTAATGAGACTGAAGAGTCCTTTTGAGAAATCTAAAATACAATAACATTTATTAAAATGTCACAAACTCAATAATTCTTCATAAAAGAGGGGGGGAAATCTCTTAAAAGAACAAAATACATAAAAAAATGAGTGAAAAGTATTATTAATTTTGTATATAATTAATTTTTAAATATATAGAGAGCACTTTAACAACTGTCAACTGAGACAGGTTTTTATGTATTTGATTCTGATTTGGTTTAAGGACAATATAAATTAATCAAATCTAGATTAATAGAAATTATTAAACTACACAGTTGGTGGCTCAGTGCTGCCACCTGCTGGGGATTGTTTCCCTGCCGTTTCTTCTCCTAATGGTCTGGTCTCTCCACTTTGAAGTTCATAGTAAGTATGTCCTGGATGCCAGCCTGCAGCTCATCGTGCTCCTGCACGGCAGAGACCCCTTTAGGAGTCCCGGTCAGAATGAGGTCCCCCTCCTCTAGACTGATGAAGTCGCTGATGTAGCTGATGAGATAAGGGACGGAGAAGATCATCTGCGAGGTGCTGCCGCTCTGTCGCACCTTGCCGTTCACCTTCAGCCAGAGCTGGACGTTCCCCGGGTCAGGGATGCGCTCTTTGGGGATGAAGTCGCTGACAGGACAGGAGGTGTTGAAGCCCTTGGCCATGGTCCAGGGAAGACCTTTGGACTTGCATTCTTCCTGAATGTCCCGGGCTGTCATGTCCAAGCATAAGGCGTAGCCAGCTACATGCTCCATGGCGGTGGACTGTGGGATGGCTGTGCCACCTTTCCCGATCACCACCCCTAACTCCACCTCGTGGTGCAGGTCGTTGCTGTACAGAGGCACCAGGATCGGGGAGCCCTCTCTCAGATATGCGCTTGGAGGCTTCAGGAACACGACAGGCTCCGTAGGGATGGCATTTTTCAGCTCTTTTGCGTGGTCCGCGTAGTTTCTTCCGACGCAAATGATCTTTCGTCCCCATTCCCAAAATCGGGCTATATTCCGCGCTGTCATTGTGGGAAAAACTCCAGCTGTTTGTTCAGATGTTTGACTTTAGAAGCAGGTCAGCACTGCATACTTTGACCGACCGGAAACTGCAGCATAGACGTAGAAGAGTTAGAAGCCGCGCTGGGTTGTTTCTATACCTTGAACCGATGCGTCATTAAGTCCGCCATATTACGAGTGGCAAATTTCCCTTATGAGGATAGCTGGAAAGCAGAAGAGTTTGCGTTAAGAACGGTGGTAAGAAATTAAAACATATATATGCACATGTTGGATTACTATCGGAGACCAGTAACACAAACAATCACATCTAAAAATAAAAAATTGATTATTCTAGATTTTCTCCTTCCATTTCTTCACCAATCTAGTCTGTCATATCTACACCAACCTATTTATTACTCCGTCCATTATTTGTCTGTTCATTAATATTTTATCATCTATAACTGCTCTTAAATGCAGTATTAATTTGAACAACACATTCAAAAACAAAAACTGTAGTTGAATTAACACTAGCTTTACATTTTTTTTACCCAAATAAAAGTGAAAGTATGAATATTAGAGTAAAAAGGCTACTGGCACACATTTGATTTAATGTTTAGAAATCATGCAGTTGAAGGATATTATGTGCAAAATAGAACTTGCAAAAAAAAAAACAAAAAAAAATGATATACACATAAAATAACAAATTCCTACATAAGAAACATTTTTCTCAAAACATTTTACATAAAATGTATAAAACCAGTCTTCTTTTGCTCTACTTACTATTTTTTTACTCAAGTAAAATTACATAAATACTGTACAGTAAAACTAAACGTTAAAGTATTTTTTTCTAAAATGTTACTTTAGTTAACTAGTTACACCCCACCCGTTATTATGATTATTATTATTAGAAGTAGTAGTAGTAGTGGTAGTAGTAGCGGAAGTAGCAGTAGTAGTAGTGGTAGTAATAGTAGTGGTAGTAGTAGTAGTGGTAGTGCTAGTAGTAGTAGCAGTGCTAGTAGTAGTGGTAATAGTGGTAGTAGTAGTAGTGGTAGTATAGTAGTAGTAGTAGTAGTGGTGGTATAGTAGTGGTAGTGGTAGTAGTAGTAGTAGTAGGGGTAGTGCTAATGCTAGTAGTAGTAGTAATAGTGGTAGTAATAGTAGTGTTAGTTGTAGTAGTAGTAGTAGTAGTAGTAGTAGTAGTATGTACACCCTGACACTCACAATATGGCGGGATCATAGAGCTCATGCAACATCTGATATTTATGACTAAGAAGTGGATCATTAACCTACGGTAAGCCAGAGGACAAGTTTGCATAACTAAAACTCAAAGTCAAAACTGTGACATTTAGCAGTCGATCTGTTCGTTTAGTTTTTCCTATGTGTTTTATAAAGTGCACTTGTTAATCACGTCCACATCTACTAGATGATAATCATTATTTTAGGAAAACACTATCAAATTTGATTAGTTATGCCTGGAAGGATAGCGCTGAAAAGGAGGCGGAGGCGGAATTGAACCAAAAACCAAACTTTTCTGGTTTGCACAGCCGCGATAAGACTGTAGTTACTGTAATGTTATTCAAGTCACTGGTGGGGAGTGCCTGCACTCTGATAGGAGCAGCTACAGCCTTTAAGTTTGGTATGTCCGTCCTGATTTATGCCGCAGTTTGCTAACATTTAGCATGCTAGCTTGTTTAGGATCGATGTCACGGAGCTGTTGATGTGTTTATGTCTCCTGTGAGGATTCTGGGCTGGTCCGTCCAAAATATTATAATTACAGTAATTATGACAAAACATATGACAAAGAAACTTTCAGACTCATGTTAAAATATTAATAGGGGGAATAAATGGGACGTTATAAGTGCATTTTAAAAGAGAAAGGTTAAGCTAACTTTTATTTGAAGCGCTGATGTAAACAGTCAACACGTCGTCCTTTTTTCCCGTATTTATAACGTAAAATTATTGGTCTTTAATGATCAGATCGTGACCATTTTAAGGTATAAATCAAAGTTAAACAGAAAACATGGTTTTGCTTCTTCCTATTTAGCCTCTGTGGAAGCGAAGTCCCAGGCAGCTGCTCTCCTTCACAGCACTGTGAGGAAATCCCATCTAATCCAACAAGCCAACATGAGGGTTGAACTTCTACCAGCGCTCAGTGACAACTACATGTACCTGCTGATCGATGAAGACTCTAAGGAAGCTGCCATTGTTGATCCTGTGGAGCCAATTAAGGTCTATATTAATTATGCTATTTAAAATGTGTAAATACTGTTTAATCAACTAATTGCTTAAAGCCTGTCCAGTTAAATCAAACAGGTTTAGTCAGATAAATAATTCAGCTGTAAGTTGTGTCACTGCTCTATTTGCATTGAGCATAGCTTGAATTGTTAACAGAGGTGGGAAGTAACTAAGATTTATTATGTTATAGTACTTTATTACTTTTTTAAGGATCTGTATTTTCTTTAAATGGAGGCTCAGCAGAACTGCTGGTCCATACAATGCTTACTGGATAGGTTTTCAGTATTCCTTTTCAAAAACATTTATTTTATTTCTTCAGAGGGGTGAGAAGGTTATTTATGGTGCTTAAAGGTATAATGGAGGATTTTCGCAAATTTTTCAAAAGATCTGCCCTCTCTACTTGTAAAAAAAAAAGCATATGCACAACCGTGTTCCCGCTCCCGAGAGGGACCGTCTATTGAAGACGTGCGGGAGCATACTGGAGCCCATTTCTCCTCTTGCACCTTGTTTAAAAGTTACTGTTTGCATCTCTTATACAAGCTTACTTCCCAAAAGAAGATTTGCAAAGTTTCCTATATGTCAGACTCAGACTCTTTAACCTGCCTGCATTGTTAATGGTAAAGTGTAAGGAAAGGCACGTTTTTTGTGCAGCACAATTTAGTACATAGACAAATAGCTTTACAGTAAAATAGAAGGAAAATTAAAAAGCAAGTAAAGATAAAAGCAGGTAGTTAAGCAAATAAAACAGTTGGACCACAAATGTAAAGTAATGATGCTTCAGTTAAGTTTCATTTGAATAGTCAAAGGAAGTTCTAAATAGTGTTTTTTTTTTACTTGGATAAAAAAAAAAAGACTTAAAAATGCAGAGAAAATTATTTTGTTTTGCTTGTAAGTCATTTTGAGACAATGGATTTTAGTTTTCTTTTGTTTTTCTCCAAGACAGAGTAGAGACATTTCATTTATTCTTACATAAAGCACTTTTAACACAGTGCACCTGTGATGCATGTCATTCTTCGTGGGTTTTTGGTTATAGTGAGTTTGTTTGGACAATGCTGTTAGAATTTCTTTTAGAGTTCAAAATGGGTTTTCAACAAATCCTCCAGAATTTTTTACCCAAACGAAGGGACCAATCGAAAAAATATGTTCTGCTTCTAATTATGTACAAAAAATTTAGTACTTTTGTTTTCATTTTCCCTATTGTGAACAATTTTTTGACTTTAATGTAATTATTTATCAGTGATTTTCACTTTTAACGAAGTGTTTTCTTGTTAAGGTATTTTTTCAGTGCTTTATACACCTCTGGTTACCAGCAATCTATCAATATGATCTGTCTTATAAAGAATATCTATATAGCCTCCTGAGTCCAAAGAGAAAGTTTGAAATGGCTTCAGAAAACTTGGAAAACCATTAATCAAGATAAAGACAATTGTCTGTCCAGCTGCAGGGTAGAACAAGCATGTTGAGCTAAGATCTGGTTTTAATTTAACTTTAGGAGTCACTGAGCATGCACGGTTGTTTGCTTTGTGTCTCAGCGTTTGACCTGCCAGCTTGTCCAATCTCTAACCTCAAGCCAGTCCAGTCAGAACAGACACTCTGCCTGGATTAACCAGCAGAAGAACATATTATAATTTCACATTATAACAGATTATTTAGGATGTTTTCTTTATTTGTTTTTTTTAAGTATACCTTTTGCTAGTTGACAAATTTGAGGAAAAAAAAAAATCCATTCTTAATATGGAAACTGCTGTCCGTAAGAGCTGGTTTTCCTGCTTCCTCCTTTTTTTATGTGTTCTTGCTTAACTTGCTTTATTGATGACTCAGTGACCTTCTCAGTATGGCTCCAGTTTTTACACAGCCCTGATCATGAATTATTCAATTGGTATCATTTGACTGTTGAAGATAAACTGCTAACTGAGGAATTATCAGTTTAGGGGTGTAGCTCAATTGTTTTGTTTTTCTTTTCTTTTTTATTCTTTATTTGCTTTTTTACTTTATTTTATTAGCTAATTCCTGTAAAGCTCTTTGAATTGTCCATGTACTGCATTGTGCTGTACAAATAAAATTGCCTTGCCTATAGATTTACCCTTTTTTTTTTTTTTTACCTTTTTGTTTAGATGTGTTAGATTAGGGTGACATCTTGGACAGGCAGGATGCTGGCTCCTGAGGAATGAAGGTTTAACCCCCTCAATCTAGGCAGTCTATTAAATTATATCTTTATTATTTTTTGGGCTACATTTTAGATATTTATCCTCCTAAATTACATTTTCCTTAAAGTTTTCTCCCCTTTAGAAAACTCAACCTGACATTGTTTTCTGACTTGATTCACAGCCTAAATGATTCCTCTTTTACTTGACTCTATTCATTCCTGCTCTACTAACACAGCTTAACTTCAGTTCTTTCCTCTTTTTTTGTGTGTGCCTATAACAGGTTGTTGAAGCTGTCCGAAAACACGGCGTTAAACTCACAACCGTTCTGACCACCCATCACCACTGGTATGCTTCCTATTAACACATTTAACCCAGTTGCAAACTCGATTCGCAGAATTCAGGCTTTACCCATCAAGGTATGTTTTATAGCTGCACACAACTCCTCCTCTGCTGTTTTAGGGATCATGCAGGCGGAAATGAGAAGATGGTGAAGCTTATGCCAGGGCTAAAGGTCTATGGAGGAGACGACAGAGTCGATGCCATTACAAAAAAAGTTTCCCACTCCAACAGCTTCAAGGTAAGGCTGTAGCATGGCTCTTTTTTTGTGCTATAACACTTTAGTAAGCTCAATAATTTGCACACATTTCTTTTTTTCGGTTAAGCTTGGATCACTCAACGTGAAATGCCTGTTCACGCCTTGTCACACAACCGGTCACATCTGCTACTACGTGACTAAAGAAAACAGCTCAGAGCCACCTGCTGTTTTCACCGGTTTGCTAATATCCTTACCTTCTTCATGTTCCTCTCTGTGCTCTAAAATGACTTACATGTTGTGTTTGTCTGCATGCAGGTGACACTTTATTTGTGGCTGGCTGTGGTAAATTCTTTGAGGGTACGGCAGAGCAGATGTACAAAGCCTTGATAGAGATTCTGGGACGTCTTCCTCCGGAAACGGTAAATAAAGGATTCGTATTTCTTTAAAGTTTTTATATTTTCTCCCATTAGAGCCACATAACTATGGGTATTTCGTTGGGACTTTATGTAGTGAAATCACACAAAAGTATTGGATTACTACAAAAAAGAAAACAAAGAACTTTTCAACATTTATGGAAAACTGAGAAGTTTTCCATGATATATTTACCATCATTTTCCTGATACCTTCAGGATGCAACTGGTTAAAACAAAAGCCTATCTATGCGTATTTTAAGTGTCATTCTGAATGCAGCTGTTCTCTAAAGGCCCCAGATGTTTGTTTAGGACAAAATAAAACGTGAAGGCCAAAGAACACAGCAGGACAGATGAGACCAAAACTGCTATTTGGACTATATAATAAAATGCTGTGGGCTGACAAACTGCAGCTTGAGCACATCATCCTCAGAGTGAAGCGTGTTCTTTGCAGGATTATGTTGTTTCTTCAGGCACAGGGATGGAGTAGGTTGAACGTACAACAGAACATGTTGGTGTAGATTTTCAGTCACCTAGGGCTGAAACAATTAATTGGTTAATTAATTATTTAAATAATCACCAACTAGTACAGTAATCGATTAATCGTTAACCGGAGGAGTATAGACTGTAAAATACGCCTTTAGCTGACCGAGCAACCCATTTAGAGCAGTAATTTAATCAAAATTGTAAGAAAACTATATAAACATTTAGTATTTAAGATAAAAAAAAAAAACATTTTGTCTGTCAATATTCTCCATCCAGAACTCCTCAGGTGGAAAAGTTTTAAGTTTCACCTGCTTTGATTTCATAAAAAAAAAAAAAAAAAAAATCTTTAAGGAACCTTTGGCTATCTGATTATTAATCAATTAATCGAAAAAAACTAAGCAACAGATTAATCAGTTTGCAAATGAATTGTTAGTTGCAGCCCAAAGCTGTATTGTTCTTCCCTCTGATTTTTTGCATTAGACTGTGGAGACTAAGAATATTACTGTCATAAGTATTAATAAGGCAGTTTGTTTAGTCCTGCATCAATCAACTCTACAGGGATGTTTGAATGCCTCTGCAGCTTCAGCTTCTACTTCATTCAACAACAATATTCCAACTGTAAACCGAGCGCTATTAGTGTCTTAATGCTCTTTTTTATTTTTACTGGATATTAGACTTTCTGTTATTATTTTCACAATTTCATTAGTTGGTTCTAACTGGCTTAGTCCCATTACTTTATTTTATGTATTTATTTATTTATTTATGTCATTTCACAATCTTCTTCTTTTTTCTATACATGAACAAAAAGGAACAGAGGGAAGATAAATCTTGTATTACCTGATCCCTTTTTACCCCATTGCACGCATGCAGTGCTGTTATTGTAAATATAAATAAGAGCTGAAAACTGTGCACAACACAAAGATCAAAAATAATAAGCCAGCAGGATGCCATGATTTTAAAAATAAATGCTCATCTGTTGATAGAATATCTATTGAAAATGCTACTTAACAACACTATTCAAAACTATACTGCTAATCAGTACACAACAATAACACTGAGTCATAGCTTGAAACATTGCTGCTGGAACTGTTTATGTCTCTGTAGAGCCAGCATGGTAATAATCACGCCGTCAGCTTGTGGAGTGGAGTTTAGACACAAATTGATACTTAAACAGATATCAGGAGGTTGCTAACTTCTATTTTTTAATTCTTTATTTTTTCCTTTTTAAAGCGTGTTTACTGTGGCCATGAGTATACAGTCAGCAATCTGAAATTTGCACGCCATGTTGAACCGCACAATGAAGTCATTCAGAAGAAGCTCGCATGGGCAAAGGTATTGGACTTTATCGCTGGAGTCTGATGTCTGAAAAGAATCCAGGTCTTTATAAAGATGAGCAGCTTTCTGTTTACTGTGTTTGTTTTTCTGCAGGAGAAGTGCAACGATGGAGAGCCAACCATCCCTTCTACTTTGGCTGATGAATTTACATTTAATCCCTTTATGAGAGTAAAGTATGTACAGCTTGATGGAACAGTTCAGTTAGAGGATTGTAGTTTATTTCAGAGCATAAAATGTGCCTTCCTTACTCTCATTTATTGTGATGTCTGTTTCAGAGAGAAGTCTGTCCAGGACCACGTGAAGCAGACAGATCCAATTGAAACCATGAGAAGCCTCCGAAAAGAAAAAGACAGCTTCCGGGTTCCTAAGGAGTAAAGTCCGGTGGTTTCTTGCTTTTATCTCCTTAAAGGACTGCCACTTTTCCATCAAACTAACAAATAAATACAGCTAGACCTCAAAGCCATTTAGAATAGATCCACTACATTCATCCCTTGCTGAATGTATCCACTGTTAGCACTAAAGATGAGATGCATCAAAACTGTATGTTTTCTTCATGGAGTTCTATTTGGATAGTTTGGGGAATGTTGATGCGACTGTTTTAAAGAATATATGGCTTTAAGAGATGCATTTATTTTAATTTGTAAATGCTTAAAAATGTTAATATATTGAAGTTCTAACACTTTCATTCAGTGTGTAATTTTCATAATGAATGGGAGCTCTGTAAGGAACAATCAATCATTTCTGTGGAAGGATTAATATGAAATAGTAGTTTTGTTTAAAATCAGTTTTAGTGTGATTGTCTCATTGTGTCAGTTCTTCATTTGCTTTAAAATTAGAATTCAACTGAACAGATTAAGTTCTAGTTTCATCATGACTGATTGGTGTGTCACTAAAACATGATACATTTACTGAATGTCTTTAAAGCACAATTTATAAAAGAGCACTGCATGATGTTCTTCAGAATAAGCAATAAAAAACATCTGTTTAAAGAAAGTCAAATGTTATTTGAAATATTAAAATCCTTGTTTTTTTGTGTGAACACTATACCCGTCATACAGTTCGTGTAGTGAAGCACCTTTTTTAGCTTTCTTGCTAAACAAAACAGTAAAATAAGAAAAATAATTTATAAGCTATAACTTATATATATGGATAACATGTACTTTTTCAGTCATTGCTCTCTTTCATTCTGATTTATGTATCTTTTTTAAAAAGTTGACCGATTTTACAGTGTTGCCAACTTTTTGAAAATCAAATAAGGGACAATCAGGCAATGTCTTCCATCCTACCAACATTATGAATTGATTGTTGTCTTATTTGTGTTTGAATTGACTTTGTAAACATTTATATTGAGCCTATCTAATTAAATTAGACACCTGATTTTGTTTCTTATAATAATAATATGGGACAATTGGCAACCCAGAGAGATGCTTTTATTTTTATTTGTAAATGCTTAAAAATGTTAATATATTCAAGTTCTAACTTTTTTTTCTGCCCATTTCATAATAAATGGGAGCTCTGTAAGGAACAATGAATCATTTCTGTGGAAGGATTTCATATGAAAAGTATGTTTTAAATCAGTTTTAGTGTGATTGTCTCATGTCAGTTCTTCATTTGCTTTAAAACTAGAAATTCAACAGAACAGATTAAGTTCTAGTTTCATCATGACTGATGAGTGTGTCACTAAAACATGATACATTTACTGAATGTCTGTAAAGCACGATTTATTAAAGAGCACTGCATGATGTTCTTTAGAATAAGCAATAAAACATCAGTTGAAAGAAAGTCAACTGTTATTTGAAATATTAAAATCCCTTTTTTGGTTGTGAAGCACCTTTTGTAGCTTTCTTGCCAAACAAAATGGTAAACTTACAAGAAAATCATTTGAAAACTGTAACAGATATATATGTGTATGTGTGTGTGTGTATATATATGTGTATATGTACATATATATGTGTGTATATGTATATATATATGTGTGTATAAATATATATATATATACGTATATATGTGTGTGTGTATGTATGTATATATCTATATATATATAGATATATATATATATCTATATATATATATAGATGTATATACAAACAAATATTTTACTGTTTTTACAAAACAGTAAAATAAGAAAAATAATTTGAAAGCTGTAACTTATATATATATGGATAACATGTACTTTTTTAGTCATTGCTCTCTTTAATTCTGATTTATGTATTTCTTTGAAAAGTTGACTGATTTTACAGTGTTGCCAATTTCTTGAAAATCAAATAAGGGACAATCAGGCAATGTCTTCCATCCTACCAACATTATGAATTGATTGTTGTCTTATTTGTGTTTGAATTGACTTCAACTGATTTCAATTAGACACCTAATTTTGTTTCTTATAATAATACAGGACAATTGGCAACCCTATGTATATATATATATATATATATATATATATATATATATATATATATATGTGTGTGTGTGCGTGTGTGTATGTAATTTTGTTTCCCGTAAAGGTTGAATTTATCCGACTCGATTAAAATGTCTGAGATGACGCCTGATTAGGTCAGGATAACTTCCTGGTCTGAATGCAAAACAGCTTCAACAACTTTCTTTGTATAATGATGAGCGTTGATTATATTGTTGTCATTCTAGCTCCAGATAGTGTTAAACTCCAATAGATGTGTAAATCATTATAGCGGCCTTCTGATCTTTTACCGATTAGCTCCGTTACTGCAGAAGGGCTGCTGCGGTCTTCCGGAGGCGTCAATTGGAAAGGCGCGTGCATGTGAACGTGGGAGACATGAAGGTGAAGGTCATCTCCATCCTGGAAGACAACTACATGTACCTGGTGATAGAGGAGCAGAGCAAGCAGGCCCTAGCTGTGGACCCCGCTGTCCCCCACCGGGTGAGACCAGAGATTCACACCAACAACTGTCACTGATTCACTAAAGTTTGAATTGATTTTATTGAAAGCATTTATATGTAGAAACTCATTCCAAAAAGACATCATAAATAATAAAAAAAAGAAAAAAATTGTAACAAAGAAAAATAAAATAATAGACTGCATTAATTACTCACAAAGGTTAATTGATCATCTGTTTTTTTCCACAGCTTCTGGAAATAGTCAAAAGAGAAGGCTTGTCTCTCATTGGTGTTCTCACAACACACTATCACTGGTAAGATCAGTGTCAGGGGCCAAACAAACCAAAGGCCACGATTTTCATTTTTAAATATCTACAATTGCAAAGTCTTATAATGGAAGTTCTTACCATTTTTATGTGGATAACTGACTCATTTTCTGTGAATTTGACTTGATATTTGTTAGCTTTTGTTTTCACTTTTTTTAATGTGCTTTGTCCTAAGTCAAGGGACATTTTCCACTCAGGGGTGGAGCTAGATGGGGGAACATGGCCACCCCTACCATTTTTTTTCTCTCCAGTAGAATATTCGAAACATTTTAATTTTATATATATTAACAATTACTTGACAACAAAAACACTGTGCTTAATTATACACATCATCAATATATGAACATTAAAAATGATTAGTACAGAATTCATGCTCTTTCAGAACTAGATTTTGTGTTATATGCCGTAAAGAGAAAATTATGTGTCTCTGCAAGTCATCTAAGAGTCTTCAGTGAAATTATAGATACTGTAAATAACTATTTAAAAAAAAAACTATTAAATGATCAATTTATGTAAATATTAGTGCTTGTAAATATCAATTTAGTGTAGAATGATATTGATAAAAGTAGGTAAGTAATGACGATGGAAAAGATGTTCGCTCCAGAACTCAAACCTCAAAGAATTTTATCCAATATACCTTTTATCTAGACGAATGTTTAAATATATGCATCTATTTGGTAGCAAAGTTGGTAGGAAACTATAGTTTGTCTTTATTTAGAAATATGGACGTTGTGCTTGTTCCTGTTGGAACAGTGTAGATTGACCCTGAGGTTCTGGCGCCAATCCACTATTGGCCACCTCTCAGTATACATTGGTTATTGCCGGGCCAGCCTTATATAAATGTTCAGGCTCTGCCTCTGTTTCCGCTATAGTGAAGACGAACTTCTGTGTTCTATAAGCTTGATTTGGTTTCATAGATTTAACATAAATATCGAGCGAACACCTGCTAAATCTTGCTGTAGTTTTCAAAGCGCTTACTTTTAGAATATTTTACCTTTATTCTGCTCTAACATGTCTAACCTATTTTACCTTAAGAGTTTACCTCATAAACTGAAACATGGAGCCCATTCAGGTCTTAAAGCAATGTGTTTGTTTTAATTTTTTGTTTTTTCAGGGATCACGCTCGTGGGAATAAGGCTCTAGTGAAAGAGATCCCTGGCCTCAGGGTTTATGGTGCAGATGATCGAATTGAAGGACTCACAGATAAAGTCATTGACTCTCAGGAACTGAAGGTAAGCAGAGTTTAACTATGAAGCTAATAACTCTCACCAGTTGCGGTTCCAAATTGTTGCGGTATTTTTACCATTTCCAGTTTAACTCCATCAATGTGAAGTGCCTGTTCACTCCTTGCCACACCTCTGGGGATACATGCTACTACGTCTGGGAGGATGATTGCACAGATGCTCCTGCTGTGTTCACAGGTCTGTGTCTGCAAATCAAGAGTTGGAGGATCAGTTACATACAGGTTTTCCTCTGAGAATTTAACCTTCTAGCTTTTTCAGTTTGCTGTACAGGCTTGTTATTTGCAGTTCTCTGTGAAATCTTGTTCTGTTTTTTGGCTAATAGGAGACACACTGTTTATTGGTGGATGTGGAAGGTTTTTTGAGGGTACAGCAGAACAAATGCACCACAACCTAACCAAAGTGCTTGCTTCACTACCTCCAGAAACGGTGAGTGATCTGAAAGAAATAACATATTTACTCTCCATCAACCCTTCTAGCCATTTTTTTCACCAACTTAATGTAAATTTTGACTTCAAATTAGGACTAGCACAATGAAGCTCCTGAATTGAGGAGAAACTAATTCCAGGGCAAAGTATATTGCATCTTTTCTTTTGCTCTCAATAGTCACAAAATCATTGTTTAAGTGCAGCTTAACATGTCCTCACAATCTACATAATCCCTCTATATACAATATATGGGAGGTTTGTGCAACTCCATCATCAGTTTCTGTAAGTGCTACTATCCACGGTGAGGTCTGTAGATCCATGCCAGCTGAATTAATCGGTAGATTTAACTAATATTTAAGTTTCCTGTAAGGTATACACCAAGAAGCGGCAGATTGAAGTCTTTTTTTTTTTTTTAGAAACATCCTCAAATGTTTTTATACTGCATATTTGCACCATATATATTAATGCTCTGAACTTCCATATTAGTGTGTTTTTTTTTGTCTTGCCCAAGGGGATGACAACACTGAAAGCCGGAGCCAGTGCTTGAACCGAAAACTCTCTGGTTGTAGGGCAAACCCCTTCATCCCACGCCCCACTTTAATCACGTAATGGTGGTGGACAACATTTATTTTTTTTCCAGCTTTTTTTATACTTTATACTTTACACTGTCACAAGTACAGAGCAACGATGATGAACTCCTGCATTTAACCCATCCCATCCCATTGTTGGCACCTAGGGAGCAGTGTAGGGTCTGCAAAACCTAAGAGTTAAGGGTTAAGGATCTTTCTTAGGCATCCAGAGTGTCAGTCTGTGGGAGTGGGCCTTGAACTCAGAACCTCTGGATTCCAAGCTCAATGCCCTGACCACTAGGCCCTACAAGTCAACCTAAGTTTAAATCAAAAGAATATTTGAAGGCTCAAGATGTAATCTATGAGTTGTCTGTTCCTCAATCACCTCAGCAGAATGTTGTTAAAAAAAGAAAAATGTTTTTTTTTTTACGAGTTCTATTACAGCTATAGTTTAATTGAATTATATCAATATAAGCACCAGTTATTTGTCTCTTTGTCTCTATTCTTCTTCCTTATTGATAAACATGATACCAGCACTTTTTTTTTGGTAGGAGCAAGAAAGATATACTCTGCATTTCAACTGGTGTTGGAAAAATATTCTCATCTTCTTTTGGTCAACCAGCTTATGCACAATTTTGAGGAGTGTGTGCAGTTGGTGCAGTGGTTAGCGTGCATGACCCATGTATGGAGGCCTTAGTGCTCAACGCGGCTGACCCGGGTTTGAATCTGATCTGTGGTCCTTTGCCGCATGTCTCTTGCCCTCTCTCATATCCCCTTTCCTGTCAGCCTACTGTCAGAAAAGTGAGCCACTTGTGCCGTAAAAGCTAAAAAAACAAACAAAAAGAAACTCTGACCATGGCTTTTTATTAGTTGACATGGAGATCATATATTATTTTAGAAAATTGGGATCCTTTACAACTGTGATAACTGTGACAGAATCTGTTTTGAATAAGTTTCTTATTATCCGCAGAAGGTGTTCTGTGGACATGAGAACACCATCAAGAACCTGAAGTTTGCCATGTTGGTGGAACCAGAAAATGAAAAGGTTAAAGAGATGCTGAGCTGGGCCAAGGCAAGTATGATGCACAAAAACAATAAAAGAACATTGCTTTCTAACATTTCTGCACTTTAGGTGAAGCCAGATAAAAAACCCTTTAAGCTACTTAAGAGATCTGTCAAGAGTAAATATTGTAATTTTTTGCGGGCATCAGTTAAATCAAATGAAAAGTCGTTTCTGCTTCTGGGGGAAAAGTATTGGCTTTTTTTTTTTTTCTACCTGTGAATTTTTGCCAAACCGACATTTTAGATTATCATAGAAATGTAAATTTTGACATATATTTTAAAACAAAATTATTTAAGTTGGAGTTTGGGGCTTTAGTGGGAAAAGTACAAAATAAAGTTATTCTCTTGTTATAAGCACAGGATAAACATAATGTTTTGCAGAAATGGGGGAAATTTAGCAATGTCAATAATCTGACAACAGAAGATTTCAACATTTCTAGCCAACCTCTGGTTGGTGGGAAAGACTTTTCTCCCTTATGTTTACAGTACTTTGTAGAAAAAAAAAAGAAGCTTTAAAAGGCATGTGCTGCTGAAAAGGGTTTTTATTGTTAAAAGGCCGATCATTTAATTCTGATTGAACTATCAGGAATAGTAAATATATTTTGGAAATAAACTATTAGTGTATGACAGCTCAAATTGAACTTTTTGCTTCATGACTGACATGCTAAGAATTAAGAGAATTTGTCCTTTAATTGCATGATTGGCAGATTGACTCAATCGTTTGGATTTCTGAACAAACTGATGAATATAAATTAGATTTTTTTTAAATTCTTCATAATCCATAATGCATAAGATATGATAAGATAGATTTTATTGATCTCACAGGAAAAATTCACTTGATAGCTAAAAAGAAGGTCCCAAAAGGAGGAAAAGGTGCATGGGGTATATACAGTATATACAGTGCTTCCATATATATATATATATATATATATATATATAGTAATTGCACAGGCTATTAAATAGTGATTGCACATTCGTTATTGCACAAGTTGTTGCGGTTATCTTCATAAAAGCTTAAATATTACAATGATTGAATTTATTAATTGTTAATAGTGTATGGTACAGGAATATTTCAGGCGTCCTGCATGAATTATGTGTATTTCAGTCTGGAATTCTGTCTTTTTTATCATTATTCTCATGGAATCTTTACGCTCCTCTTCGGCCCACTAGGCGAGAGATGACGATGATAAACCTACGGTGCCATCCACATTACAGGAGGAGTTTGATTACAACCCTTTCTTCCGTCTCTCGTGAGTTTCGATATTCAGTTTACATACAGGAACCATAGTAATTATATCTATTTATTTTTGTTTTCTCCTATTTGTCCTCTTGTTATCTCAGGGAGAAAGCTGTGCAGAAGTTCACTGGGAAGACGGAACCTGTAGAGGTGATGCGGGCACTAAGAAAGGAGAAGGATAAATTCAAGAAGCCAAAGGACAGCCTTCCCCCTCAGGCCATGTTGGCTTTGCAGTGGGGTTTACTTATGAGCTCTAAAGATCATATGGGTTCAGCAATCAAAGAAAGTGACTGAAACTTGTATTGTACTAAAGACTGTGACCCATTAGTAGCATTTGTTAATGTTATGAACAAGCATTTTTGCACAATTTAAACCAGGCTAAGAGACTAAATAGTGCTATATTTAACCTTTCTCTGTGGACACATTCATTCATGTAAATAAAGTGTGGGGGGCGGGAATAAATGCTTTAAAGAAGAGGATGATGTTTTTTTAAACATTTCTGGGGGCGGGTTTCATTAGTAGCCATTATATTATTCTTATTTTAATAATATAGTGTACATTTTTGCCGATGCGTCTGCGCAGTTACCAAATGTCTGTTTAATAAAAATGTCTGTTTCTTTTGTTTGGGTTTAGGCAAAATGCTACAAGATGGGGACCGAACCATGACTCTTTTCCTTAAGGCATAATGGAAAAAATGAAATATTTTAACTCCATCATGGAAAACTGGTGGTTTTCCCAGATAAATTGTTCATTTCCCCTATTATCATGCTTTCGATTTCAACACAATCTACTAGTAGCTACTTCATTACGTCCGTAACAATATTTTCGGGTGCTGTGAATGCAACAAATTTCTATGACCTGAAAACTTTCATAGCTGAATTTCTCTAGTAAGCAACAAAAAAATAAAAAATAAAAGTGAGAGCCTTCTTTCAGCCACCTAACCTGCAGTGCTCAGTAATAAGTGGGCTTGGGGCAAAGCTGAGGAATCTTCAAGAGAGCCTAAAAAATCTTTGGTCATTCTGGAACTCTCTAGCATCTAGTTTACCTTCTCATAACAGCCAAGTCTATCATGTTAATGCTGGTATGTCCATATTCATTACTAGAGGTTAGCATTGGCATGGGTGTTCCAATATGTGTCATGATACAATTTTATCAAGATATTGCTAAATAACTATATATTGCAATATTTTCCTTCTTTTTCTATGAAAAAGAAAGTGCTGTATATGTTCATCAGAAGATATTGATAATTTAGTTATTTTGGTATCTATGCTGTTTGGGGTTTGAGTCCTCCTACTGTGACTGCCTCAACTACAGAGCATCTGCCAGAGTGGGGGTGCAGAGGTAGCCCATGTTCCTTATTGTTTTAGGTAAAAATAATGTCTATTTTAAATATAGATATATCGGCAAATTGATATTTTTTTTCTACACCCCTATTTATTACATAATGTTTTGAACCAGCTTCCAATACCATTTTTTGTAAAAAAAAAAAAAAAAAAAACCTAAAATTTCATTCTGATTTTGAACGATTTCAATGCCAACATGAACCCCTCTTCAGGATTTCTTAAATAGATTGGTTTTCCTGGCAGCCTTCCTAGGACTCTAAGCTTTCTAGAATATTATTCAAATTTTAATCTGTTGTTTAGACTTTAGTAGTTTAACATTTGATATATTTTTCTTTGGCTGCAGATTAAGTTTAAAATGATGTACTTTTAACATAAAAATGCTTGGAGACAATTGATAATGTTAGGTAAATATTTTCAAATCAATTTGGATCTAGAGGTGTAAAGACAAACAGACTAGATGGGAAAAAAATGGCTTTAAGACCTAAAGTCCAACTCTTAACTGTTAAAAAGCTTCCAGCCGGAGCCTCAAAATGCATAATGAACATAAGAGCCAACTTCCTTTGCTTATTTGATTAAATAACGCTGGAATCATTGAACAATGATTTATTTCAAATTGTATAAATAAACACGTATTTAGTAAAGAATGATAATTAGCTAATATTTGATTTTAAATGGCATGTTCAAAGGGTAACAAAATGCATCATATGAGGACAATGAGTAAATTAATAATTGGCAGTACAGAGGCCTTGGTTAATATGATGATATTCCAGCCTATCAGGCCTCCAGGAAAAACAAAACTAAACAAAAAATAATAAATTCTGCATAAATTCTACTTTCCAAAGTAACACATGTTCTATGCACCTCTGTCAGCACCAAAGGTGAGGGCAAAACAAAAGTCTGCATACATCCCCTTGGCTAGAGAAGCACGTGGATCACCACTTTATAGTGAGCCCATTGGTCATTTTCTCCACAGTGTGGTACTTTGTGTGTAACAGCTCCTTGGCTCGCTCTTCTCCCAGGGTGTGCAGCCAGGTTTTATACAACTCAGCCACCTTAGTGTCATTTTCTGGCAATAGGGGGCGCTCTGCCTTGTAGAGCTCCTCCACCTGGTGAAGAAAATCCTTTTGGTTTTGATTGGATGAAGGTTTAATCTGCCCACCACCATTTAGACAGCCTGAAAGACAAAAAACGATAAATATTGGATGAGACTAAACAAATACGATTATGTTAACCTTCATCAAAAATTACATTTTGCATTCTTGGATCTGAATGAAAAACCTGTCTCAACAATATATTAAAAAAGGACAAACTAAAACAAAGGGGATATTTTTGACAAATAATGTTGAATGCAAAGCATTTTTTTATCTTTTGTAGTAAATGAGTATAATTTTGGTTAAAGGTTTGGATTTTGTTTATTTTATGGCTCAGGCATTTTTTCCACGATTAGTCACATCCATCCATTTTCTGTCACGCTTTTCCCAAGCGGGGTCGCCAGGGGTGCAGGTGCTTATCTCCAGCTGTCTACGGGCGAGGGGTACACCCTGGACAGGTCGCCAGTCCATCCCAACAGCTGTCTTAGAAAATGCTGGGTAATGCTCAGGGCCTCTGATATGGATAGCTTGGTTTATTTTAAAGGCCAGATTGAGCCACCTAGAGGGGTTTAAATTGTTTATTTATTTTTGGATCAATAATCTGTTTGGAAGCTTTGGAACAAGAAGGCCAGCTGTGGTCCATTCTGGTATTATCACTGCACTCCAAGTCAGAGATGTTCCCCTTTACCTGACGGACAGGCCATGACTTCCACAAAGTGGTAGGGCGACTTTCCTCTCTTCAGTTTCTGAACAAGGTTTTGAATGTTGCGGAATCCATATGTTGAGGCGAAGCACAGCAGGACGGCACCATCTTTCTCCAGTCTAACCTCCTGAAAGTCTTTATTCCTGCACAATGGAGTAGAAATAAATATTGCGATCAGGACACGTGACATTATTCTTCTGTAATTTAATAAAGACAAATTAAGCTGATCAGTTGAATCTTTTATGTTGTTGAAGGCCTCCCTCACCTGAGTGTCTTATAGGTCAGCTCCTTCACCTCCTCTCCAAACAGCTGCTTGGCAGCATTTGTGAAGACATGATGGAGGTAACCCCCTGAACCACTCCCTGAATGACTCAGGAACTCATCCTCACACACACTGCTGAACCTGCGTGAAACATACGGCATTTAATAAAATGTTGAGTGAGAGACATAGAGGGCAACAAAAATCAAGACAGAATGAAACTTGCATTGTATCCAAGGCTGCAGGCTCAACGTCAGAGAGACACACATTCTGCTCCTCCATCATTTTTTGAACCTCTCCTGCAGTAGAGGAGAAAATGTATAAGAGAAAGGTCTGTGTTTTTCTGTCCACAGGAATAAGGAGCAGCTGACATACCTGAGGTGATGACACAATCCACCTCTCGGGTCTCAGCTTCCTCCAAGTAGAAGTCAGAACGTGACGCCTCAAGCTTCTTGTCAAAGCAGGGCATCACCGCCACGTGGTAGATCTGTTGAGGACTAAGGCCCTAAAAATGAACAACAGACAGCTTAGCCACTAGCCAGAGAGTTACAATTCAATTAACTCATGGCTTTGATTAGGCCATGTTAACCCATGAATATGCTTTTGATCCAGGCCACTCTTGTTGTTGCTCTGGATCTTTGTGCAGGAATAAATGTCCTCTAATCCTGTCTCAAATGTTTGCTGCTTTTCTTTTGGGTGTGCCACATATTCCGTTTAAACCTTTTTCCCATTAGGATTAATCATGGGGAGCATTGCTGATACATTATGCTGCCATCATCATGTTTCACAATAGAATGGGGTGTTTTTTCAATAACACCAAAGCTCAATTTTAGTTTTGTCTGACCAAATGCCTTGTGAATAACTCCAGACAAAACTGCTTTCACCCTATGTTTCCATCAATGGCTTTTCTTTTCATTTCCATAAGGTGAAATTTGTGGTCTGCATAATACCTAAGAGTTGTCCTATCACCTGATTCCTTTGGATCTCTATCATGGAAATGACACATTTTGAATGAGGTGGGAAACTTTCTGTTTGGCACCGAACATCCCCATCTGTATCCATCAGTATCCGTCCATAGAATACCTGCTGTTCTGCAAAGTAGCCTTTCACCAGAGAGCCCATCATCTGCTGCGGAGAGCGAGTGGTGCTGATGTACGGAAGAATGTACTCGCCGTGTGTCTTCTCTGCATAACAGATCCAACCTAAACAACAGGTACAGGAAAAGTTGGACATGCAGCTGATCATTGAAAAAAAATGGTGGTCATATGGCTCAGATTCATCAGATTTTCAAAAACAGAACATATAAATCCAAAATGTGCTTCACTTCCTGGTTTGAGTATACTTTTATATTTCTGTAACTTTCATAGTATGAACAGATTAAAATAATTAACTTTATTTTTCTGCTTTGATTAAATCATAGCGTTTATTTCTGGGGTACCTGGACAGGCGGATGTCAGCATGGGCAGGGCTTTGCTGTCCTGTTCTTTCCGACTGAAACGCTCCAGAAACTCTCTCTGACTTTCCAGCAGACTGAAGGTCCGACTAAAGCTGGTGTCAAACACATGATGAACACCTGGAAAACAAGAGATTTTAGAGAGAAAAAAACAACTAAACAATCCATCTGTCTGAATTATGTAAGATTTTACTCAAGATAAAGAGAACAAACCAAGGCCTTTGAGGAAAGATGTGAGCCTCCTGCCAGCCTCACTGCTGCTGAGTTTGTAGTGTGCTGCGAGGGAGGCTCTTGACTGTGGTGATACTGAAACTACTACAACCTTCTGCTCTGTCTCTTTGGTCTGTGAGGGAAGATGAAATGATGCAGATAGGAAACAATAACACATGAAGCTAAAAAAAAATGTAACTAAAACTGTAAAACTATTACTAGCAACACAATTCAGCTGTACCTTATTGTTCTGTAGCACTTTTAAAAGCTCCTCGTGGCTCTGCTGCGTGATGAGGACGCTCTCGGCTGAAGTGATGCAGCCACTACACGCCAAACAGTCATTCAGGGTAATCTTTGCTCTCTCCAGCTTTTGTTTCCCTCCATCCTTTAAGAACAGATGTGATACGTTTTAAAGGGACCAGTTAAGACTTTAGCAAGTCCCCAAACAGTTTCATAGAAAATTCTCTTCAGACATTTCATGAAATTTGACAAACTTTATTCAAAAATGTGATTGTTTTAGAAATAGACCCACATGTTATAAGTTGGTGCTTTCAAAACAAACCAATCACAATAGAGTCACAGTGGATCTGCAGTCTTAAGCTTCCAGCAAAGACTTTTTGATATATTTTTAAAATAAATCAATAACTGCCCTTTATCAAGACTAGAGACCCTTTTTATAATCAAAAGAGAAAAGCAGGTAATCACAAGCATATCAGCTATGGACCACAAATCTTAGGCTGAATTACTTGTGGTGCTACAGTGCCTTAATGAGCCCTTAATGTCATGGTGCAGTATTAGTCTGGTGTTAGAGGGAACATAGACCATGACACCCACCTGATTGACTTGTACATAACTTCCATCATCCTCAATCTGTATCTTCGCCACAGATTTACCTTGTTTCTTCACAACTTTGACTGGTTTGACACATTCCTATGTAAAAGACAATAAAAATTACAACAATTCTTTGTTAATTTCCTAAGCCAAAACACTAAAGGTTGTCTAAGTAACAGACAAGACAGGAAAAGGAAAGCATAAACCTGGACTCTGGCCTCACAGTTGGTTGAATGTTCATGCTATTACATTTGAAACTGTGTCAACTTTTAACAATATATCTTCAAATCAATAGAACTCTGTTCTTCCAGTGACCTTCTCATTATCTGAGCCAGTATAGTTGGGGAAGTGTTTCTCTAGGATCCCCAATAATGATAATTAATAGTAAGAGGAATTGCTGAATGCTGAATTTTAAAATCTTTAAAATACATACTAGGTTTATCATTTGACTTTCTTTGATGACAAATAAATAACCAAAATTTTTGCTGATTTACGTTTAGTTTCTTATATATATATATATATATATATATATATATATATATATATATATTAGTTTGGAAGCATAAAAAGGATTTTATTTCATAAATCTAAGTATTCTAGAACTATCAGAGAACTGAGTGGACTGATATCAGCACTCTTACGTCACATCCCTATCATTAGCAAGGTAACTTATTGTGTTTTTAAGGCTTTATTTAGCATTGTGTCAGCAATAATAGCTCAGCCAAACAGTAAACATTGGTTTATGAAGATCTTTAGAAACTAACCGTTGAATGTTTTACGCTGTATGTTTGTCAGTGATAAAAAATTGCAAAGCAACAAGAACAGCTCGACCAACTGCTAGCTACTTCGACCGCGTTTTTTCGCCATTAAAATGTTATATAAATGAAGACGAAACAATTATGTTTATCTACTTCTTTCTTAATCAATCTCGAACAACGTTGTGTTATATTAGTGGAAGCAATCAACCTGGGACGGGGTGATAAAATCGTCAAGATCTGTTAGCTGCAGGACACCGCTGAAGTGAGACGCCATATTTACTGCCGCAAAGTTGTTTGTTTACATTTGTGTCGTGAAGTCTTCTTTTTCTTCTTCTTGTTGGATTTATTGGCGGTTGGCAAAAAACAGTTAGTAGCATTACCGCCACTTACTGGTATGGAGTGTGGCTCGTGATGGATTATCTACTTAATAAACGTATATATGTAATTTCTTAGGGGGAAAAATGAAAACAAAAATCTACATACTTATGTATCATGAAGTCTTACTCAACTTCATTCACAACGGTGCACACTGCGCAGAAAAAAAAAGAAAACTTCAGTCAAATTATAAACTGTGTAAACTGTGCCTTATATTATGAAAGTTGCAACAGATGTTTAAGATACCTTTATTAAATGTCATCTAAGATAAATATTAAAGGAGATATAAAAAAAAAACACACAATTGTTATAGGAAAAAGCATTACATTAGTCTGCTAATGTTTTTTGAACTTATAGCTAAAATGTTAGACACTTCTTCTAAAAACAATAAGCCAGCATACTTTCTCAAATTAATTTTCTTTAAATAGGGTTCTTAATTACATTTTACAATACAACACAATTGTCTTTTTTTTTTTTGCTTATAGTTTTTTATTGATATGTTACTTGTTCTGTTGGAAAGAAGATGTAGCCCATACAACATATTTTATTTATTTTTATCAGTGTTGTATTGAAAACACACTGATAAAAAAAAAATAAAACTTACAAAAAATAAAACAGTCAGGGGCTCCATGGTGCATTTTGGTTTAGTACACTTTCTCAGTCTAACTGTCTTAAACATTTTGAATTTTGTGATGATATGATTGTTTTGCCTGGCCACTTGCATATGAGACCCAACAGCGAAATGTTATATTTCAAAAACATTTAAAAGTTTTTTTTTTATGTTTGCTGTGATCTTAAATATTCTTAGCGGTCTCTGCGTGGTGCTTACTTTTGGAAAACATCACATAATACAAAGCACAGCTTTCTCCAACCCATATTTCTTTCTGTATGCAAACATTTGTTGCAAAGTGTAATATGATCTGCAAGGAAACTTAGCGTGGGTATATAAGGGATCATTAAGGTCACACACAACCTTTAGAAAGGCGTTTTGAAATATTCAGAGAACCTGGGGTCAACATTTCATGAAGATTCTCTGTGGATCAGTTACAGCATTCAAAATGACTTTTTTAATGGTATCTTTATGGAAACTTGCACACAAACTGCTCAGCTTCCAGCGCACAAGATTGCAGCGGCAGTGACTGCTGACCCCTCCTTTTCCCTGCATGACTCCTTTCTGTAAATGCAGGTAGATGATACAAAAATACCCCAGGATGAGGAAAAGAAATTAACAATAAAAAAAAAAACTATCTAACCTCTTTTCAGTTGCTATTTGTATAGAATAAAATAAGCTGAATTTTGATAAAATTATCATCGGGATGGTTTTGTTAGCTTTTTTTTTTTTTTACTTTTGGAATGGATGAGTACTTTTAACAAAATTTTGTAATGATGAAGCTTTGCTAAATTATCATCAACTGAACAGACAACCTACATAAATTAATTCAATATGTCTGTTAAATCAAATAAGCATGGATTATACACAGTTGGCTTCTCTATTCCTCAAGAGCTGTTATTTTATTATTATTCATTTAGATTAATGTCTTGTAGAGCAAGACAGAAATTTATGTTCCTGGTTTCAAATACACCACTTTCCAACTGTGTGACGTAGTTTTAAACAAAAATGCTTCATTAGAGTATATGTTAATTCGTTTGGCAGTTTATGAACTAAATTTCATAATTTCTAGGTGCACGGGCTTTTGAGTTGTTATGACGACGCGGTCGTAAATCCGCCATGTTTGCTCCCGCCCCGCCGCTGCGCTGCGTTGCGACAGAGACGGAGAAGTCAAACGACATGAATGCAGAAAATAATCATACGGCAGAAACAGAGCAGGAGCAAACGACGAACGGCATCGACACCATCACCATCCAGACTACTCTGGGAGACGAAGGTAAGTCTCCTGACTGAATAAAACCGGTTCAATTTAAACACAAGTTTCAGGTGTGGGCCTTGCTAACTTCCCCCAATATGAAACTGAGCTAGCAGCAGCTAACTAACATGCTACATCGTTGTAGAGACTGAGGTTGATGCTATTTTGAAAAGTTTCCATCAAACATGGATCGCGTTGCAGCGGTCAGGATGGAATGAAGAAGAATCCGAATAAAAACCTCATATATAAACACTTATATGTATTGATTTGCGTTATTTTAGACGATGATGTCCACAAGTGCGGGCGGTGTCAGAGCGAGTTCTCCAGCCTGGATGCGTTCATCCAGCACAAGCTGCAGCAGAGCTGCAAACGGCTGGAGACCCAGGAGGCCGAACAGCAGGTACGTCACCAGAAACTGTTAAACTCAGATTATAATTACAGGAACGCTAAATTACGATGGATTTGCTCAAAAAGACTTGAGTCTTTCTGCATGGAGTTTACATGTTCTCCCTGTGCATGCGTGGGTTCTCTCCGGGTACTCGGGCTTCCGTCCACAGTCCAAAAACATGACTGTTAAACCCAGATTTTAATTAGATGTATACTTAATTACCATTGGATTTGCTCAACAAAACTGAAAACATGACTGGATGAATTAGAGGAGAGCAAAGATAGATTTAAGAAGTGGATTGCATCTCCAAGGATGGTAAACCGTCCACGGATCAAACAGGGAGTGCTCTGATGCAGGGATGTAAACTTTCTTCCATTTTTTCCCCCCAAATCCTAAAAATATAAATCACACCAAGGAATGATGGTGGCGGAGGATGTGGGATTTCAGGGTTAGAGAGCTCTGCTCTGATGGATGTCAGTTACTGCTTGGTTCCTCATGACTCCATAAACTCCTCCAAACAGAAACATTTCCACCATAGAAAGATTCCTTTATAGTGTGTCTATAATTTCATCAATGCAACAAAACTTAAACTGTGTGGTGAAACGGCATGCAGTGAGAGCGTTCACTGCTCATCCATCACCTCATGCTGCTATGTAACATTTGCTCCAGGATAAACATTTATTCCATATCTTAATATATATTTAAGCCCACATGGTCCTTTTCTATAGTGGGATAATACACTTAGAGCCCATGTTGACATACGAGGCATTTATAAGACTTTTACATTTTTGCGGCTGCAGACGGGTTTATTTTTTTGTTTTTTTTTTGGTCCAATATGGCTCTTTGAGCAGTTTGGGTTGCTGACCCCTGCCCTGCGATGGACTGGCGAGCTGTTCTGGGTGTATCCCGCCTCTCGCCCATAGACTGCTGGAGATAGGCACCTCATGATCCCTCTGGGAATAAGCGTGATGGGAAATGGATGGATTTTACATTTTATGCAGAAAAAGTCTTCAGTTCAACAGACATGGAAGTCTTTTCAATATTAAAGTAAAACATAAATAAATTCTACCGTAATAAATTTCCCCTGCAAGCAGTTATCGAGTTTTGGGGGGATGGCATCCCCCTTCTTAAAAAAAATCTTGAAAATCCTCCCCATTCTTAAATGACCATCCTCCCATACCATCCATCCCCTGTGACATTTTATTACTGAATGTGTAAAATTTCTACTATATATTCACAGTAATGGCGATAATATCGTCTTTTCAACATTTGGTGGGCTGTGGGCTTAAGAGTAGCCTGAGCTTTTTTTTTTTTTTTTTTTTTTAACTAGACTACTGCTTGTAAATAATAAAACAGTAACTCATCTATTTTTATACCTTGTTTACTACATTAAATGCACCATTCGAGTCATAAGGTGCGTTTGGACCCAAGATATTTATGTAATATAATTGATCCTGATTAATGGACGATTTTTCTTCTTTTAGAACGAATTGATCCATTACAATTCAGTCACTCGAAAAACATTGGAACTCTTTAGCCGAACATGTAACCAGGCTGATAAATCTGCGGATAAACAAACGTAATTAAAAAAATTAATTGCAATTAATTCACATTTGGTTTTACGTTCAACTAACGCTATAAATTAAATCAATAGGAGGTTAGCCTTTGTTTTATTATTTTAGGTAATTAAACATTTAAGTTGATGTGCACAAAGCGCAATAAATATTTTAACAGTATTTAAAATAGATGCTTCCACTGCTTTTGTTTATTTGTTACAACTTTAACATAAAGTAAAGTAAAATATCTTTTCTGGCTGAATGGAAAGTAGATTTACTTTCTTCTTCCACTGCTGTTTTTCAATAGAAAAGTATAACAAATAGAACATTAATGTAAAAGATGCATGCAACCAACATGGCTTTGGGTTAACTGAGCAGTCATTGTTATAAAGAAACTGCACATGATCTTGCTGTGGTTCTTTGCATATAAACTAGTCGTGTTGTTTTTCTCTCCAGCGGAGGTTTTGTAGTCTCTAACTGTGCGTTTTGGCGAGGCTTCTGAGAGATAATGGTCAGCTCTTCAGAAGCCTCAAGGCATGATGGGCTGACGTTAGCTTAATATTTCTTATATTTAAGTCACTGATTTGTAAAGACTCAACAATTTCATCCTTAATATGTTTATATGATTAGTGTAAGTTGCGTATATGGTTACAATGGCTTGTATGTTTTCTTTTCTAGGTCTCTTCACACACTGGAAGCTCTACTGCCAAGATAAAAGCTCAAGGTGTATCTGCTGACCACTTTGTACTGCTTTGTTTAATCCTAGAAAACCTTTAACTTATTCAGTTTGAAACTTAAAAGATTATTATTTAAAGGGAAACGCTGTTTTTTTTACATTGGGCCCTTGATTTTACGTTATTACATTATGTTCTACTCACCCATATGAGTTTTGTGTCATTTGGAGCTGTTCTGAAGATATTCCGTTAGGTTATATCCAAGTAACAATAAATGATAAATTATGAACAGTTTAGTTTGTGCCTTCAACTCGTTGCCCATAGGAAGACGTTACTTGGATATAACCTAACGAAATATCTTCAGAACGGCTCCAAATGACACTAAACTCATATGGGCGAGTAGAACATGATGTAATACCGTAAAATTAAGGGCCCAATGTAAAAAAAAAAAA